GACTGAGGCAGGCCGTCATACACATTACATACTTCAAGGGCAAAAAACACTTCCCATTATTGTAAGGAATGATCCAAAAGGCCGGCAACCACAAAACAACTACACAGCTAGGAAACCAAAAAGAAATCTCCTCCATGACACAATTCAGGCATACAAAACCCTATGTATTTGATACAAACTATACACATCACACACATCACACATCACACACACACACACATCACACACATATATCATATTATATATATATATACAGTCCGTCCCCCCTCTCCTCCGCCCAAACCGCTCCACACCGAGGCGCTACACCGTTGAGGGCCGTCCACCGGGTGCGATTCCGATCCCGCGAGCGACGGCGAGGCCCCTCCAAGGCGCTCCTGGGGCCGGACCGGGACGCGGGTGGAACGTGGTAAGGTGGTTCTTCTCCAGCCATGTGACAGCTATGGGAGCAGCTATGGGAGCCAGTTGAGGATGACAGGGGGGTGCCATCTGAAGAGGTGCTGATTCAGCCATGTTCGAGCTGTGGGACCGTTTCGTGCCATCTGCCAGCGGGCTCACCGGTTTGATCGGTTTGGACCTTTTTGGGAGGATTTGGTGGAGGCCTCTGGGATGGCCGAGGCCGAGGGTGGTGTTTAGGACGAACAAAGGGCGCCGCATTGCAACTTGGAGAGGACGGGGCAAGGTGTGGATTAGGTGAAAGTATTCGCTTCATTCTCTCCACAGATCACAGGCACCATATCCTGAAAACAACTTAACTTGCAGGCCCCTTTCATTGAAATGGAACTGAGGAACTGATGGCACATAGACCCTTGCTCTCCCCTTTTCCCACCTTTCAGGTGAAAGGAAGTCTTCAAGTCTCGTCTTTGCCGAGTCTCGTTGGCTCTATAGGTGCGAGGCCTGAGCTGGATACACAACATGAGAGAATGAATACACAAAGAAAACAGAACATCCGTTTACCTGTGTGTCTTTTTAACATTCATGTGCTTTATGTGTTTCTCCCATAAAAGCTCCTAAGTACGTCATGATGAGCCCGCAAAATGCCTGAACACCCAAGATGAGACTCCATTGCACGCGACACGAGGTCGGTAGATGAATGAACCGGTCAGGAAAAAGTGTCACGTTTACTTTGTTTCTTTTTGTGGTGGGTTGGGGGGGGCTCACCCCCCTGTTCTCACTTGCTGTTAGTAAAAGCACCACTACACTGAGCAACCACATGTATTGTTCTATTCACTCTGTGAGAGGGATCGCTCACCTTCAAGCAAAGATTTTGGCAATAAAGGCGTGCGAGTGCATGAGCTTGCTCACCGGCCGACAAACCCAGGACATGTCGTGCTTCTTTACAAATTTGTCTAACAATTGTTGTGAGGACATGAGCTGTCCCACTGCCCCTCAAATAATGACACTTGCCCTGCTTGACAAATGAGACAACAAGAAAAAACAGTGCCTTCAATCCAGCACGTGTCCTGAAACACACGTGACACCACCGATGACAGTAAACCAACCAACCAAGCAAGCAACATCAAGCAACCATTCTCGGTTGGCACAAACATGGCGTTTCCCCCCCAAACACGGCACTCCACGCCTCCCGATTGCTCACCCATCGAGCGCAGGGCCTCGACGAGGCATTCTTGGGGCTTCGGCTGCACTGGTGATGCGAGCCCACAAATGAATATCAAAATGGAGAATATTGGACATTGAATGATATTGAATGCACTCAAAACATGATGATGATGTTGTTGTCGTTTCATCCTTTCTATGATGTGTGCATAGGCCATTGAGTGTTCTGGTGCACTCAGAGCCAAAGAGTTGGGCAACAAAAGTATCCAAATGAGTTCACCTAAAGAATGGTCTTGCAATGTCTTGCACATGCAGAGCTGGGTACAAACACCCAGCAATATGACCAAGTGAATGCTGACGATTTACAAATACCACCCATGACTACCCCAGCAGATTGCTAACTTGGACTTTTCAATTCAGAACAGCAACTAACCAACTGCAAGAGAAGGACACCCCACCTTCGTGGCCCACCGCCTTTTGCTTTCCCCTTTAGTCAACAAAAGATTGCATACAATGACGTACATTGACCCCGCAAAGTGACAGTGACAGCCATGAAGTTAGCTCCTTAATAAAGCAAACTGCCGCCGTGCCGCTCGAGCCACTGCAAAGATCCGGAATCCTCCAGTCGGGCATTCATGGGAGCAAGGGGTCCAAGCAAAAGAGTTGGATATCCGGTGGGTATTTAGAGCAGATAGCACAAACGGCACAAACCTACAAACATGTCTTTGATTTTAGAGGGTCCATATATGTCCATAACATTCCATAACTATGTCCATAAAAAACAACCTTTTGAGGATGGACAAAAACTCTGAAACCACCTGAGAAGCTGCAAAACGAAAGCCAGCGCTTTTGTGGGGCTGATTCGCAGTGCAAAGCCGGGAAGAAGCTATTTCCACTGTCTGTGAAGCCTGATGCGCGCCATACCTGGGAACAGAATTGTAGCTACAAGACCTTTATTTTCAAGGTGGCCTGAACAGAGTGTTTTAGGGCAGCAAA